CCCCTCAATAACATGTTCTACTGCCGTGCTGTTTCCTGTTCCTCCCACTTTTCCCCCCAAACACCCTTTCTAAAAATCATAAGACCTAAATAAAACAAATCAAAGACAAATAAAAAATATAAATATAAATAATGTTGCCCTTCAATATGTTGACTTTCAAATTTGTGTCCAAAGATGTATGTGCTGTCTCTGAATGTGATTTACAGTACAACTGGCCCTATGTATCTGCTCGTAATGCTTACTAGACTACATGATCGTCATGAAAACAGTAATCTCATATATACTGAATACAGAAAAAAAGCTGTTAAGAGACCTGTTTAAAACAGTTTGTGAAACTTTTATCGGCTCAATGATTTTGCGTAAAGTGATTAAGCTTTATTTACTGCTGACGGTAGTGTAACATTTCATGTGATATATCGTCTGTTGAGAGCTAGAAGTGACCTTGGTGTACTGTATACACATGTTCGCTTGTAACATGACCTCGCAGTTCAATAGAGGAGTGGGTATACTATAATTCTAAAATCGTTCGTTTTTATAAGTTGTACGTACAATACAGGTTGAATTTTTTACATGGGGGCGGAGGGGTGTGGTTTATCATGTGTGAAATCAAGTGCCAGTCAAGCAAATGTTCAGAATATTTAGAGCAAAAATCAATATAGCACAACCCAGGTAAACAGCTCAGTTAACTATATTTAATCCAAAGTTTATCTCGCTTAGCTGAACAGCCATCTAAAGGAATGTGTCTTACAGGGAGGGCTTATTTCGTGTGTAGTGTGTAGTGTATGATATGGGGGTATACTTTTGGACCTCATTTTTAAAAAGAAAAATGGGTTGTATCAGAGGCTTGTATATACAGTTTGTCTAAATTCCTTATGTTGAGAAAAATGGATTTTTAAGGCGAGGTTTATTTTATGCAAGAAGCACTGGGACCTAGACACATCCGGAATTGCGATTGTTGTCAAACTACCTGATACATTGCTTTGATATTTTCGGGCATGGCGGAATATGGTTTTAGTTGCCTCAGTTTTTTCTATTTTTGACATTTTGGCCAAAATAAATATTGTCGTTCCTGGGTCCTGTCTAAAGATCTCATAAATGATAATATATATCAATGGTGTAATTTTCCATCTGTGTTAGTCCAAAAAATGCCATATATCATCACATACAGTGGAACTCGGATTTAACGAGAACTCGGTTTCAACGAAAGGAGATAGATTCCCCATTTTTTTTCTTCTTTAAAATCAATAAAAATAACCCGGATTCAACGAGCACTTAAATCAGCGAGCCCGGATTCAACTAGGTCGCTTCCAGGATGAACAGCCCCCGTAGACTGGCTTCGCTCATTTTTCTTCCAGAACGAACTTTATCTATTCCCGGAAACCATCCATTGCACCTGCTCCGTGAACCATTATTCAATTAGCCGATTGCATGCGACCAATCAGCTGCTTTTTTTCATACCAACACATGCGTTGTTGGCATGCACACGTGTCTACTCTGGTGTGTGTCGGGGTCGGATAGGCAGCCTGCACACGTGTGACTGTGTGTGCATCTCGGGGGGGGGGGGGGCACTAGCGGTCCGGGCGATGAACGTCGCAGATACAAATGCGTCACGTTCTTTTTCCCCCTCGGCAACTGATCATTATTACAATGATAGTCTTGATGTAGATATCTACGTAATGAATTGTGTGCTGGTCTATGGAATCAAAAGTTGCCGTATGCTAGGCTCTACACATCAACACAACTTTTTGGTAAACAATTGAGATGACACAGGTGTGTGCATTTGAACTAATTGGTCTTTTATTTTTACACACTCATAATATGCAGGCATTTCAGGCACTACTTATTTGTGACTTCTCTTTATACATTACTTGCTCAGTGCCTGTAACTATCTACACAAAACCTTGTGTTTGCTATAACGAACACTCGGATTCAACGAGATTTTAGGTCAGGCCCGGCGACCTCGTTGAATCCGAGTTCCACTGTATAAGATGCATGTATGGATAAGATGCCATCACTGAAAAAGTTGCTCATTTTATTTCCTGAGAGCCAAAGTAAAAGAATTATAAAAACTGATACACGAATGTTATGAAAACTCCTCATTATCACTATAAGAAAGGTCTCTGACCGTATTATCATTCATCTCAATTGCATCATCCCATCATAAGAGTCACGCAATTTGTGAGTTTGTTTCTTTGAAAAATTTTCTAGAAATTAAGTTACTGGATGTAGGTTTGACTCAACTCAGTCGATGATCATGGTGCATTGTGACGCCCACAAAGTTTTCATAAAAGTAAAAGTACAGTAAACAGGTAGTATGTGTGTCCTGAGTGGAGCATCTGCAGCAGGTACTGAGGGCCGACTCTGCCGCAAGCTGACAAAACGACTTTTTTTCTTCAAAGCAGTTTCGAGAAAAGGAGGTTTTTTGTCAGCATTATAATCATTTTAAAAAATTCCGAAATCTGAATTTTAATTTATTAATAAACTAGTCACAGTTTCATTTTAATTTTTTCAAACAAGTCGGGTAACTGATCAGGCTTTCGATTTGGCAATTAAAAAATGTTGGCCCCTAAATGAAAAAAAAAGGATTTGTCAGCTTGTGGCAGAACTGTACTGAAGCTGAGACTGAACTTTTGTACATCAACCCTTTTCAAGGGTGACGGGATGCCAATGTGACGTTTATAATATAAGCTGCATTGATCATTTATGTCGTGCCTCTCTCTGGTGACCAGAGTTGTGATGCAGAGACTTAAAGAGTTCTATGCTACTATTGTTAATTTTCACTGTCAGTCTATTGCAGTTGAGTCCACCTAAGATAAACTTAGAAGAAAAACATCAGCCATCTTTTCTCCTAAAGGTGCATAGGCTAAAGACAGGGTTACTTCGGACATCTTTGTATTGAGGCTTCTTTTTCTGTTGATGCCATTTCAGTCCAGGTCTCCCCCAAGGCGTTTTTACGTATGTTCTTTGAGTTAAACAGTCTTTTCTTCTCTTTCTTTCGTGATTCCAGTTCAGGGCCTGTCCTTTGACATTTCTGTGGTCCCCGGAGAGCATATATTCCCTGTCCACCTGCTTCATCTCTTTCTGATCCCAGCTCCTCTTGTTTATCAATATGTCCAATGCCAGAGAGCCAACACAAAGAACGTAAATGCTATCTGACTGGCTTGGAGATGTACTCATAGTTAGAAAAATAGACTCATTCACTTATCTGATATAATCTGGAGAAATGACCTCGGTCTCAAATTTTTTCTGCTCTTCTGTCCTTTTATTGGTTGAGATAACGCTGGAAACTGCACAATAGTTTTATCTATAGATTTTATTATGAATACAGTCAAACCTGCTCTAATGGCTATCTGTCCAAGAAAATCAAGCGACCACTTCCCTTTTCCCATTTCCCTCCTTGAATTATTTTTATATGATAAATCCACTGTCCAAGATGTCCACCCATCGTCTAAGACAACCAACCACTTTGCCCCCAACAAGGGATGGCAATCTTGCACAATTTCGACTGTGAGCTTTCTGCGATTCAGAATGTTTACACCCCGGGGCGGTGCTACTGACTGAACTGTCTTTAGGCCATTCCCAAATATGTTCTTATGCACAGTAGAATTTTGTAAATGGGCTGATTCATCAATGTCCTGCTCATAACTGTGCCTGAACTGCAACAGGGAACTGCTGCTTTTTCTTTCCTAATCTTTTCTATCGTTATTTTCCCTCTACTTCTTTTGTATGTTTGTTACACTCTTGTGACCCGCTATTGCCGGGGTGCCTTGATAGTCGAAACAGACTTTGTGCTGTTGAAGCTTAAGAGGTGACCAAAATTAGCCTGATTCCCTGTAAGGACTTCTCTATTGACATTCACCTCTTGGCGCTCCAATGACCTTGTGCAGTTGCGAGTGCCGTAGCTGTAAAACCTCTTCTAAAAAAAAAAGTCCCATGTTGGTAGTGTAGAGATAAGCTCACACTTTGCCTCTTCCTGTGATGGTTCTCACTACTTTAATGACTTCAGTTTAATAATGGTAGTCACCGCAATATATGTGAAGTGTGCGGACAAAATGAGTTATTTCTCGTAATCAACAAATTATTGAGACATTGGCCAAAAATCGACACTAGGGTCAAATTTGTAGATTTTCTATTGATATCATGTTCTTTAAGTATAACATGCCTTTTATTATTTCATTCTTAAAATTTTTTTTTACTTCACCAATATGTATAAGATCAGAGTGATATTATATCTGTTTCCTATATAAGGTTTGAATCCAAGAAGTAACTCATTTTGTTCACATATGATCCCTGCAGTTGTTGGACAATGGCAACAAACCTGGAGTACAAGCGTACATGCTGGGCAAGTTTAGCAACGCCAGTTTAGGAACTGTGTGCAATTGTGTGCACAGACTATCAAAAAGTCTCATCATTTTGTGTCTGCATGGGGCTCGGTATGGCACTGTATGCGATAGGA